TAAGTCCCGCAAGAAGCTCTCCATCACCCCCCAAATAGTCTTGCGAAGCCCTGACCAATTCAACAAAATCCGGCAATACCATAAGGCATGTTCTAGTTCTAAGTAGTACGAGTTAACATGATTATGCCTGCAAAGCGGCTAATGAAAAAAAAAAAATAGTACGAAGTAGAAATGATAAATGATGGAGTGAGTGTGGTGTTCAATCCTTTTTAAAAAGATAGTTCCTACTCATGGTAAATTTTTTTGTAACTATCCGGATTTCGAGCCTTTTAGCTCATCATCAGGTTGAAGGACTTCCACAACCACGTCTCCCGACATGAATTGCCAAAGTGAACCCGCTGATACCTCCGCCAAAGCGACGTTCCAATTAGCAGCTGATTTTTTTAATGTCGCTCAATTTGAACGTGCGAAACGCGGAATTTATAACACGAATAAATATTATACAAGTAAATACTTAATATTATTAAATTACTATAAAAATAATTAGTTTAATTATTTGGATGTTTGATATTATTTATGTACATATTTAAAATGGGAGGTAGATCAAAATCTGTTATATTATTAATGCATTTATCACCATGTTCAATTTTACATTTTTTAATTTTTAATTTCTCAAAGCAATCTAATTCTTTCCCTTTGTTGAAACTATGTAACATTCTAGTATTTAGATTTTAATTGAAATTATGTTTTTTTTCTTTTAGATGGTCCTTAAATTCCGAAAATTTACTCGATTTAAGCAAGTGTTCTTTTATTCTTGTTTTTATTTCTCTACCGCTTTGTCCTATATATTTAATATCACAATCATTACCATTGAGTTGGTAAACCCCGCTTTTTGCCAAGTTGTCTACTTTGTCTTTAGGTTTTCAGAGGATGTTTTTAAGTGAACCCGTACTTCTAAAAGCTATTCTAAAACTTTCTTGTTTAAAAATTTTACTAACTTTTCCGATAATTCACCAATGTATGGCAAACAACGGAAACCTAATGATTCATTTGTGGTGGGGTGGCTGTGTCCTATTGTTGATTCGTTTAAAGTTAATTTTTTTATTATTTTAACTAGCAACTTATCAATAAATATTTCTTGATACCCATTGTTTTTTGCTAAGGTTTCTAATTATTTATTTATAGTTAGCAGGTGTTAATGGAAGTCTATGAGCCAAATGAAACGAGCAGCCTTTTGGGACCATGGGTGGGAAGAATCCGCTGGTATCATAGTGTCTGTAGTGGTGGGTTTTCTATATATGTGTATTTCTATTAGGTTGTTTATTATGGACAGTTTTAGGTCCAAAAAGTTCATACAACCATCTTTGCCAATTTCCAATGTAAAATTTACATTACGGTGTAGAGAATTTATTAGTTGGAGGAATTCTTTGAGAGCCTCTAATGTTCCCGACCATATGCATAAAATATCGTCTACATAGCGTTTCCAGAAATGAACGGATTTAATTAATTTGTTCTTTGATTTGAAAAGATTTTTTTCGAAATTATCCATGAATATTTCAGCACAAAGTGACGACTTTCATTTCGTAAAATTTATTATTGAATTTACAATAATTAGATAGTAGGCATTTATTCAAGAGATCTATTATATAATTTTTTACAAATTCGTTAATAGAATTCTCGGTAAGTTTTTGCTTTATGAGTTTCGTACATTCTTCAACGGGGATATTTGTGAATAGTAACGTCAAATGGTACTAAAACACAGTTGTTGGTAGTACGATGTTTCATAGAATTTTCATGCAGTGAAGTGGGAGAATAATAATATTGACTATTTCATCTCCTCAATGTAAATACGTAAATAGATGTATATATATCTACGTATCCGCGAATTACATTTAGTAATTAGAAATTGCAGATTGTAATAAAATGTTGATTAAAAAGTATATCCACTGTTATTTAAATTCCTGACAGATGTGTTTCTCACGGGAATCTAATTTTATGACAGATTAAACGGAGTTTATCAACGTAGACAAGCATCAGTCCAAAAAATAAATAAATAAAAATTCGTCGAACGTAGCAATTATAAAGGTTAAAATCCGAGGTAAATTGTATCCGGCCCCCCGTAAAAATATCAATAGTGAACAATGAAAGCGAGATTTTTTCGTCTTAAACCTAAACCTCAATCCGTGAAGGATACACGGTTGCTCATTATGAAGTAACTTCGAAAAAAATAAGGCCTCTTTTGTTTCGTACCATTAACCCCTTCTTAATTAATTCATGGGAAAGGTTTTTTTTTCTAAAGTTGCGATATATTACATGCTTTATTTACGCTAGATCATTTTAGGAAATATTTACGTTCCTATGTAAGTCAATAGAAAGCGAAGTGAAAAATTCAAAATTTCATACAGTCAATATACATTGACATACTAGTTAGCTAAAACTGAAACATGATAATATTCCAATTAAAGGATAATTAAGGATGTAGATTTATGAAAATTGTATTTGGTTTGAGAAAAAACACGTTTATGTTCGTGTGGTTTTTGTTCCTTTAAAGTTACTCACATTTGTAGCTAATCAAACACTAGGAAGCATACAAAGATTAGTAAACCTAAGTATTACAAAAGCAATGAGAACAACCACTAAAAGTGCACTAGAAACTCTGCTAAACCTACCTCCACTGGAAACTTTCATCCAAGGGGAAGATATGAAAAGCTTACTTAGGTTTCAAAAACAATCAAATTGGATGGTAACTAAAAAAATTCGGGCACACAGCCATTATTAATAAAATCAAATATCCATTCTTAGAAATGGGCACTGACTACATGATCTCGGAAACATCCTTCTCAACATCCTATAAAATCTCAACTGACTATAACGGAGAGGAATTCAGGAGAGCAACAGATACAATGATATGGTACACAGAAACAAACGAAGGATCGGGTGTTTTCTGTACAAGCACAAAATATGAGCAATCTCACTCATCCGGAACATAGATTTTGCTTTTTCAAGCAGAAATACATGCCATCAATGCTTGTTCCATAGAAAATTTTAAAAGAGGTTTCGCTGGTAAAAAAATCTTCATGAGATCGGAGGTCCAAGCAGCAATTAAAGCATTTGCGTGTAAAAATTATCAAAACTAGTCAGTGAATGCATCCAAAATCTTGAAAACTTGGGGAAACACAAAAGCTGATGATATTTTTGGTCCCAGAACACAAAGGAATTTTGGGTAACGAAAAAACAAACACACTCGCAAGAGGAGGATCTGCAAGACCATATATCGGCCTTGAACCTATACTTGGGAAAACAAAATCACCATCAAAAAGTGGAACAAGAAAGAAGATTAAAACAAAGAGAAGTGGATAACCTCTAATATCGAATAATTTAAAACGAATTAAAAATTGTAGAGAATTAAATGTTACTAAATATGAATTTTTCATTTCTCTTTAGGGTTGATATATGTCAAGATAAACGACCTTTTTATTATAAAAAATTATGGTTTTTAATATTTTAATATCTTAATATTTAATGTTTTAATAAATCCATTATATTTAATGGTCTGATTGACCAAATTACTTCTTTCAATTCATTAATCGTTTTATGTAAGGTTTTGGTTGAAATGAGAAAGTTAGTGTCACGAGCGGGATTCGAACCAACGACCTTCGGCTCAATACGCCGCTGCTCTACCACTTGAGCTATCGCGACTTCGATCCAATCGGACACCAACCCCCTCATCTCAACCTACAACGTTTCGAATTTTCCCTCCTTTTTGCCATTTTTCATATGTCGTGTAATCAGGATTCGATTCTCGTTATAATAAATGAAAAATCGTGAACAAATCTATCATTTTTATTTTAAAACAGAGATCAAGCTTAAATGACTGCAGGTTGAAAAAAAAGCGTGAAAGACCAGAAAAGGAAGTATAAATACACAGAGGGCCGACGATGACCTCAGCTGTTTGTCGGCCTTAACTTCCCACATTAGAAGTATTATTTTAAAAACTTACCTAACCTGTTCTAAAGTCTGACCAAAGAATTCTTATTGCGATGACCACTCTTGAGGTCAAAAACCACTATCAAAATCTTACCCTCTGCATTTAGCATAGGAATTGATTTTAAAGAAATTTCTGAACAAAATTTTCATTAAAAAAAGAAAGAATTTTCTACAACTTTTGCTCTCTCATTTTTTTGACAAACTAAAAAAGCTTCTGGGTTGCAACAACACGCTGTTTTGACCTTTTGTATAAGGTATATACGTGGTAACAATTTCAATTAGTGTAAGATCACAAAATCTGGCTGGAACTTTAGGAAAACTCTGTATATTCTGCATAGACTTAGGTAATTGAAAAAAATAAACTGTGAAAATGGTTTGTCGAAAAAATTTAATATTCAGATTCTCATTGAATAATAAACGTTTCATAGTTTCTCGCTATATTATTTTTTTGCATACTCCACTTGATGATGCACCGGAAAATAGGATTAATTTATTGCAACAACCTTCACCCGCTGTTCTCGAGGAATTTCGCCAGAAGATAATTAAATGGTGTGCAGGAACAAACATCAAGGTATTGTTGCTTATTAACCGTATTTGCAAAGAGCCATACGAAATTATAGAATAATTGTAGAGTAATGTTTGACGTAAAGGCTTTGTCTCGTCTAAACTTAATTTTTTTTAAAGGAAATGAGGTCAGGTATTGGCTGAAATATCGCTGCGAATTGGGGTGAAGCAATCGCCACTACGAACAAGAACTTTGGATTTCAACATATCTGAACTTATTCCCACACATTGGAACAAAAGTTCGCTTGCATAGACCAAAAGAGACCAGGGGGAAATAAGTGGCAATAAACCTTGAATGTCTTTCGGCCGCCTTTCTTTCTCGGAGATCGTACGAAATCACATCAACGATTCCAAAGCTCGTGCTGTCGAAATCAGCATAATCTCATTGTGAGAGGGATAAACCGGAATCCTCGCGACCTTCGCATCCCTTGAACAGAGATATTCCGAAATAAAGAAATCCTTAGGCGAGGAGGTCTTGCGAGACCGTGAGCCGTGGACCCCCACTAGCGATCCCCACTTCGGCGAAGTGCTCTTGCTGGCCGCCGTCGACCCTTCAGTTCTTGTGCTATAGTGTTCTTAGTGGTTTCGTGTGTTCCCATTTTCATATCTCCTCGTGGAACTGAAAAGGTGAGCTGTCATTAACTGTCAACCACTTCGATGACCACCCTTCGGGCGTTGGGTTGCAATTTGATAATTCATTAATATTTCTGGTTCTGGAATAACAATATCTTGAAGGAAATATTAATATCAAAAACAAAATTCTCAAAAAATACCTTATTTTAGGGATAGGTAAAATCAAATGGGTGAGAATTTACAACGAAGAACACAGCGGATATATTGCAACAAGCACAGTATCATCTCATTTAACAAAATAAATATACCACAAGCAAAACGTTTGATTTTTTTATATTGAATTGTCAATTAGAAAAACAGTAATGTTTATAATACACAATGAAAAAAGTTGATGAGAAAAATTCCATCAAGGCTCAAGCTCATCAGAATATTTAAACTAATTTCTATCAGGCTACGAGAAACTTTATTGATTTTAATTGGTTTATCATCATTTCCTCTGGGAGAATTCTCAAAAAGATTTTTAACTTAAAAACAGTTCTAATATTTATTCTCCTCTTCTGCATTCCTTGTTGTTGATTTAATTTAAGTTGCATTTAAGGTGTTTTTCAAATTATTATTGAAGATATCAATTTCGAGGGCACCAGCCTCCCATCATCAGTGTTGTTTCATTTATGGAAAATGAACAAAATTTCAATTTAATTGTCACAACATCAAATGTATATAAAAAAATGAAACGAGAGTGAAAAGTGGAGGCTGGTGCCCCCAAATCGATATCTTCAATAAATGAATTTGATGGAATGGTCGTGAAATCCTTTAAAAAACACCTTAAAAACAACTTAGTGACATTATTATTTTCTGGCAATCAATAATAAAACTTTTTTAACTGGTAATTTTTATATTGGTTTGTTCTTGTTGTTGTCATTTTATATTAAGCTAATAAATCGGATAGCTAAAAAAAGTTAAAACTTTAATTTTAGGAATGTTCTTATGTTATACAATTGAAAAACTGTCAACTTGGCCTAACTAACCACTATTGAATAAAATATTCAAAATTGTTATGCAATGTTTTTTTCTTTACAAAATAAATAAAATATGAATTATATAATGTAAGTACGTTAGGAATATGTAAACCTTTATTTATTTTCATTTTTTAAGAACCATCAACCATCATCATTTATCAGGATAAAGATTTAATCAATATATTAAAAACGTTATATTATTATTTCCCAGTAATTATTATTATTTTTTAACTTTCTCACTATTTTTCTTGGCTATTTACAAAATTGTGGTGATTCGTTCATATTAAATAAAAATGAAAAAATAATTGTTTTTTTAATAAAATAATCGAATAAATATTTAGTACTTTAAAGCATAAAACATTTAAACATATTTTTGTTTTTGTAGTTTCATGATAGAAAAAATAAATAGGGTAAAAAATTATTTTTTAAAAATATATATTTACTTGATACCATTTTTATTTAAAATGAAATACACTAAATTGACTAATCGCGATTGTTAAAATATGCACTATCGTTTGAATGATTTTCTCAATTTGAACATAAGGCAATGATCCGAAATGAACACAGCTTCTCTGTTAGGATAGCTTTAGATAGAAACCAATTCAGGGTTCCATCGTCACCGTTCTACGAGTAAATGGCACCTGAAGAAGAAGAATTGTATTGAATTTTTATAGCACTGTGGATGAGGGATTTGTTTAGGCCAAATCACCCCAATTTAATATAATTAACTGGTAACAGGAATTTGTTATAGAAAAACTTCAAATACTTGATATAATTCATTTCAATAGGATTGAGCACATTTTCAAAAAAGTAAAACCCTAGATAAAGATTTTCATTATGTTAAAAATCCATACATAGGACTTAGTTTTATGCTATGAGTAGAACATCAAAGAAAATAACCATTAATTGAAACGACGTGATTTTTTGTTAAATATGATAATGGTTAGGACCCTATGTGGATTTTCCCGTATAATCATGCAATTTATTGATGGAGTGCTACGTTACTAATAATATTTAAAAACATTAAGTATAAAGAATATTTTAATCTTTTTAAAACAACGAGAAAACTTTTTGTACCACTAAAAATTGGAAAAAGTATAAATTAGTGGATCCATCGAATATGTTATAACAAGCACAAACCACTTGACATTGCTAAATATCATGCTGAAAATCGGAGAAAATGGTTCAAAAATACAGCGAAAACGCACAACTTTGCTAAACGTAAATTTTGAGTATAACAATGAATAAAAATTGGCGTATGAGTTCGAATCCCGCTTGTGACACTGACTTCTTTATCTCAACTAAAATCTGAATTAAAGATTAATTAATTGAAAAGGATTTATTTGGTCAAGCGGACCACGAAACCTAATAACCGTATGAAAGTTTGACATTATTCTCTCTCTTAATAAAAAAAGCAAATTAAGCTTAAAAATTTGGTCATGAATACTTAAATCAGTTGCCACAAATAATTATTAATCAGACATTTATTTGAAAATATAATCCAAGGGTGTCTATAATGAAACGTAATTATGTAAGAATAAAATATAATATATTTAAAAATAGACATGCAGTTCTTAATTGTACAGAGTTGTAAAAATTACCAGAGACGTTGACAATTATGAAATTTAGCTACTATTATTTATTTAATTTTTTTTACGTAACTACATTCGCGTTCAACACACAGTGACATGAAATACGCAAATTGCGCTATTCATTCACGGTCGAGGGGCTTTCATTACCTAACTGATCCCTGTTTGCCGGGTCATATTTGTCTTTCGAGGGCCGGCGAATTATGAGGGATTCGAGCACAATTTTCGTCTTCAACAATTTTTTAAACAAATGCAGGAATTGAATACTTTCGGGGTGTACTTGAAACTTGGCAGAGGCTTTTTCATATCGTGTAAAAAAACAGATTACGCGATATATTCGTGTAAATTTTATTATGTAAGTCCTGGACAAAGAGATACCTCAGTAAGTATTATTTTATAACAAAACAAATTTTTTTCAGCTAAATTTGAATAGAATCTTGTTATCTAATAGCCTAATTGCTAATAAAATGTTAATCCCTGGAAATAATAGCAAATATTGACTGACAAATATTGACAAAAATAATACGTAAATCCAATTGTGTTTATGAAACTCAAATCTCTTACTACTATCTATGTAAATGTTTGTAATTGGAAGTGCTAGTTGATTGTTGATTTCTGAACACAATTATATCAAGAGTAAAAAATCGGAAAATATCGGTGTCGGTAATTACAACAAAAGAGGACGAAATAGGAGTCATTTCTATTTTTTTTATATAAACTACTGGAAGCTTACTGAAGATTATTATTGAGGATCGCTTCAAATCCCTGTTTGACAGTTTGGTAACTCACTCAGAGACCTGAAATGTCAACCAACATAAAAAAATAAAGAGGGTCATAAATAATGCCACGCATATCCAGAAGAGGAAAATGAAACCACCGCTAAATAAAGTTCATAAGGAACGACATAAACCTTTTGCCCGTGACCGTATCTACTGAAGGAAGGTATAGAGAAAGATCCTATTTTCAGATGTGAAAACATTAACCTCAATGATGATAGATTACTTTATTCCCACGACCTGCTGACAGAAGAAATGGTTTCGAAAAGGAAATTAGGTGGATGACGGGTGATGATATGGGGTGGCATCGGTTAAAATAAGAAATCATAAATCGTTTCTGTTTCTAGTACTATGAACAGTATACAATATATAAAATTGATAGAAAATTAATTATCAAAATACTCAGAGACAATACCAAGAGAATAATTTGTATTCCAACAGGCTTCGATGCTGTCCATACAGCGAAAATAAAAAAAGTCTTTTTTCAAAGGGAAAAAATCAAGTTCTTAAATGGTCAGCTAAGTCTCCAGAATTTAATATTAACAAAAATCTATGGGGGATGCTTATAATGCTGCGCCAAGTCCCAGAATACATAAGGGATGAAGCCCAACATCCAGGAAGACTGGGAGGAAAGAAACTTTTCGAAGATGTTCGTCACCTCTGTGACCTTCCATATCGAATACTGATCTGTAGCAACGTGGAGCATCATTGCATATAAAAGCATGTAAAATTCAAAAACCGCTTAAAACGTTACACTAATTCTAATGTGTGATGATTAGTGACCGTTAATCGATAATTATTCAATATTCGTTTTCGTATCTTTTTGTCCGGAACCTTAAATCTCTTTTGTGCGCATAATTCGACAAGTGGTATATATAAAGAAATTGAAAAATTGAATTATCACACCTCAATAGTTGATCACTTTCAGGTGTGGTATGGGCCAAATTTATGTTCAACATAAGCACCATATCAGAGGTGCAATTTCATATCAGATATAAGAAATTTCGTTAAAGTTTTCTTTTTATACACGTCAGTCGGATAAGAGTTTGTAAATGCTTATTATTACCCTCGTGAATTTTTCCCAGCGAAGAATATTCGCTTTATTATTCTCGAATACAACCAACACTCTAGCCAAGAGTTTTTGGACAGGCAAATTAATTTACATACAAAAATAAATCTTTAAGATATCATAGTGATTGAACATTATTGATCAATCATCATTTCGAACTCAACTAATTTGCAACTGGAGCAAAATAAAACAAAAACTAGGTGATTCTTACGAGAAAAATTAAAAGAAAATTAAAACTGTGTTTGCTTATGTAAAACATGTTTACATTGTCATGAACTATAGGTAACATTATCAAATGATTTTCTTATATCCTACTACAAAATAAATAAGCGTTTTTATTTAAAATGAACAATTTGAAAGACGACAAAAATGTCGAATTATGTATTTCATTTTAACGCGATGGCCATTCTCTTATAATACATTTTTAAACTAAGAACGATTTGTACAATGTATTCAGTATGTAAAATTGCTAATTTATTACAATTTTTTGTGATTTCCATCAAAAGTTAGCCCTAGAGGAAACTGGATTTCATAAACTCATTTCATTTCAACACTGTTGATGAGCCAACGAAAAAGAAAGAGAAAGTGAGATTTGTAAACG